TGATAATTGACAGAAGCTTTGGTATTAGAGAGTTTGGTTGAATGTCTTCTCCAACTCTTACTACATGTATGGCCTTGACCAAATTACATTACTTTGTCAACCCCAAAATGAGAATGATAATATTATCTACTTCAGGGATTTGGTAAGAACTGAAGGGATCAATGTATGTGAAGAAGTGGCAGATTGCTAAGTAATAGTAGTTATTGCTATTATTAGGAGCCCAACAATTTCGTATTTAGGACTGAATAGTCTACTATATTAGAAAGATACACTTGTCCACAAAATTTCTTATCCTGCCAAGCCAATTTTCACACTTTAAGAATTACGTATAGGGACTGGGGATATAGCTCAGCTGGTAGAATGCTTGCCTCACATGCATAAGGCCCTGGGTTCAATCCCCAGCACCACAAAAAATAAATAAAGTTGCTGGTAATGGGTAAAAATCCTGAAATTGCTTTAAGTAAAAACCAAAATATTCATTATTATTTTTTTAAAAAGAATTAAGTAGAAATTATAGCACATGTATTAACATATTTAATGCATATATTTCCTGGAAAAAAATGTTTAAAATTCTAGAAAATGTGTGTTTGGTTGTTAAGAAGCATATTTTTCAGGCTTAAACTAAGATTGGATTAATGACTCAGAAAAATGCAAATGAAAACCATGATGAGATACCATGTCACATTCACTGGAAAGACCGTAATCAAACAAAGAAGCTTTAGTGAATATGTAGAGGTATTTAGAACCATCACATACCACTGATGGGAATGTAAAATGTATCAACAATTTTTGAAAACAGTCTGGCAAAAGTTTGAGTAACCATTAGATTAACTATATAATCCAACAATTCCACTTTTAGAGATATACTCAAAATAAATGGAAACATGTTCACATAAAACTTATACACAACATTCATAGCAGCATTGTTGATAACATTACCAAAGTGGAGATCACACAAATATCTGCCTACTAATGAAAGGTTAGATGAAAAGTCATATATCTATACAATGAATATTATTCAGCAGAGAAAAGGAATGAGGTATTGATAAATGCTACAGCATGGATGAACCTTGGGAATATGTCAAGTGAAAGAAGTTGATGACAAAAGGCACATACTGTGAAATGCCATTTTAATGAAAATGCATAAAGCATCAAACTCATAGACAAAATAAGTTACTGGATGTCTAGGCTACAAGGTCTGGGGGAAGGTTGAGAGTGATTGCTAATGAGTAGAGTGTTTCTTTTTTGGAGTGATGGAAATGTGGTGTTTGAACTCTATGAATATACTGAAGACCATTGAATTCTACATTTTAAATGAATCAGTTGTATGGTATGTGAATCATATCTCAATAATACTATTTTTAAAAAGACTGTATTAGTAATAATAACTAGAAAGAACTAATTTGTTCACAAAAAGACAAAAACAGCCCAACAAAAATGTCACTTAGAAAACCAGGAAAGATTTTTTGAAAGGTTCTTTAAAGATATAAATACATCACTAAAATATAACTATTTGTCCATTGAATTTTTAAATGTGCTACAACATACTCAGAAAACTTTAGTTTTTGCACCCACGATGTTATTGAAATATTTTCTTATGTTTGGCAATATGCCAAATTTTAGAAAATATACTTAAGCTAGAAAATCTAGGAAATATAATGAGCTCTCAAAAAAAAGTGTCTTGTTATAAGTCTTTGCTCAAGA